TGGGCCTCCAGTACTGCAGCAGATGGCCTGTCCATGCCTCTCCCAGGCGGTGTTTTCTGGTCACCTTGCCCCTACAACCATGGACACTGGCCCTGGTACTGTCAGCCCAGTCACGGAGCTCTCTGCTGCCCTCAAAGAGCCCCACTTCCCCTTTCCCCGTTGGAGGATCAGGTGCCTCCTCCCTTGCTCCCTCTGTCCTGCCACAGCCTCAGTTCCTGGATAGTTTCCACCAGCACTGCCATGCACCCTCCCCCTCACACACACCCATCCACTCCACACACCCCTGACATACACGTATACACATGTATGTAACCCAGGTGGTACTCAGACAAGGTACCCCCTTTCCAATTGAAGGGATTTAGCAAGTGCTAGTATACTGTGGCAGGGGGAGCCGTTTCCCTCCTATCCCCTATAGAGTAGAGCCAAGACCAGTTGGAACTTAATCATATATGGGTTTAATAGGGTTAACATGTCATATCATGTTAAGACGTGACAGGTGGGGAAGGCAATGGGTGCAGGAGAACAAGAGGGGATTCAGTAAAGGTAAGGTACACATATACATCTAGGAGAGACAAATCAACAACAAGCTTGAGTCGCAGGGTTTCACAAAATTTTGGGCACAGATTCAAGATGCAGGCACCCCAGAGGGGGGAAGCCCTTCAATCCAGTGAGAATTTCCTTTCCCTAACACCTCACCCTCTCAATGCCTTAGCCAAAGATTGAACCTGGGGCTCTCATATGGCAGATGAAAGCTCTACCACTGAGCTATCAATGCCTGGGCAGCTGCCTGGGGTCCCAGGCTCTTACCCCTCTGGGATCCTCCAGATGTCATCTACACTCCAAGCAGCCTGGCCTCACACTGCCAGGGGGCAGCTTGGGGCTTGGATCCTCCACATACCATCTGCATGCCAATCTGCCTGGTCTCCCAAAGCCTGAGCCACCATCTGTGGCCTGGGGCTTTGATCCAAGCAGGGGATCCACTGTGCATGCTACTGCTGCTGAGCTGAGCCGCTGCTTGCAGCTTGGACCCTCTTCTGGCTTCTGGGCTCCTGTGGGGCAATCGCTCCGCCCCCGCTGGGCAGATCTCACCAGCTCTTCAGGGCCCCTCCTCTTCATTCCTCAGTGATCTCTCCCCTTTTTATCCCCCTCCAGGTGGCTGGTGGGACCAATCAAGCAACATGAGGTGAATCTGCTCTCAGGTCCAGCTTCCCTACCTGGCCCCTGGGTGAGGGGGGGGCAAGACTTCTCCTTTTCTGGGGCCTGACTGGTGGGGAAAAGGAAACCCTCCCCCCCGCAATCATTTTTGAACTTTTAAAAACCTCCAGGCCAAGCAACCACCAGCTAGCTCATCACACACACACACACCCCAGACAGACCTCAAACCCTGGTCCTCCAATCCCCACTTCCCATAGACTTACCTGCATCCAGCTGCTGAGGCTGTTCCCAACACCCTGCCTGGCTGTATGCCAGCCTAGTGCGTATGTGCACACACATGTGGTGACTCCTGCCTCCAATCACTCTCCCCCCTGCTCCCAGCAGTGGAGCAGAAGAAAATCCTAGACATTTGTTCAGATTTCAAAAAGCAGCCTGATTAGATATCAGAGGACTGAAAAAGAGGACACGTCTGGGAAAATGGCGACATATGGTAATCCTAGTAGTGCCTTCTCTTGTACTTCTTTTGAAGCTAAGCATTGCATTTAATAATAATTGGAAAGCATGGGTGGAAGGGTATACAGAAAACATTTGACTTCACTGGGAACAGGCTCCAAGACAGGACCCAGAGCTCTCTCTTTATGAGGGCTAACAGCCAAAACACCAAGCCTCACACACTCTGACTTTCTTGTTTTCCCTGGTCCCACTTTTCATCTTGCGGCTGCCCAGGAGACCAGTTTTAAAAGAAGTGCTGGAAAACGTAGCTAGTGCATGATCTGTGTTGTGGTTAAAGTCCTGTGCTAGGAAGTGAAAAATTGCATGTTCAAACCTCTTCTGAGCAAGGGGGAACTAGAATCTGGGTTTTTTTATTTTCCTGGGTAGTGCCCTCCTACTCAGCCATTGTGGACAGATGACAGAAATGCCCTTCTCCTCTGTCCAACATTTTCCAGTTGTGCATTTCAGCTAACTATGTTTGTCAGGCCTTAGATGCCAAACAAAAGTTGCATACATGTAGCCAGGGGCACCTGTATCCTACTCCACTTACCCAGTCTGCATGGGTATATAGTCATCTACATGACGAGGACTTATGCAGCCAGAAATAAAATTTCATTTGTAAATAGCCCAATTCTCTAATATTCTTTTGACTTCTGATTATATCCTCCAAAATTTTGCAAACCTTTCCAGTTAAATATTGTCTGTAAACTTGACCAGGAAGCTCTTTAGTCCTGCACATGATTTATTAATAAATATGTTAAACAGATCTAGAACAGTCTCTCCAGAACAGGGCCTCCAATACTATGCCATTTCAAATCAACCAATAAGAAGGCTTGGAGGAACCTCAAGTATCATGGGGTGAAAATGGCTTATGTTAGCTTCCTCAACAGGGTAACATGGGGCATTTTTACATGTTCTCTGTGACCGTGGGTGCTTTAATCTGAGTAGCTCTGAGAGCCACTCTAATTAAAGTGCTGCAGCATCTCATGTATCAGCAACCCCATGCTTCAAGATGGCAGCAGGGATGCTTGAACTAAAGCTCATCGAACAAGTTTTAGTTAAAGTGCCCCCTCCACTATTTTGAAGTGTGGGGACACTGATACATGAGACATGGAGGCTGGCTGGAATGTGCTAATTAGCATGCTCTAGAAGACTCAGTTAATTGAGTCTGCTCTGATGTGCTGTAATTACAGCACACTGGAGCAGCCTCCTGGCATACCTACAGGCACCCAGCTGTGTGTAGGGATAAAAGTTATACTTTGAACACATTCTCTAATTTAGAAGAGTTAGGAATTGTGAGATGGTCCCTCAGTTAGGGAGTAACCAGTTAGAGACACTAAAGGATTGCAGAGGCTTGTCTACTGTCCTACAGTAAAATTTGTTTAGTTCATCTAATTCATTCCCAGTTGTCTTCATTGAACCTGATGATCACTACATGGTGTCAGTACTGGTGAATGACAAAGAAGTGAAAGAATTTGAATTCCAGACTAAAAAAGAAGTTGGAAACTGAGAGCAAGTGGTACAACACAGCCATATGGAAAAACAAAGACCCTGTAATGAATCTTCACAGACATATACTCTAAATAAAAGGACAGTTAGTCATAGAAGCATTGCAACCTCCACCTGCCCTTCTGTTATCAGGCAATATGGTAGAGAACTGGAGGGCATTCACAAAACGTTTTGCATGGTACCTAGCAGGCATAGGGGCATAAGACAAAAAAGATACAGTCAAATCCCCAGTCTTCTTGCATATCATGGGGTGCATCTACACATTCACTAATGTGCCATAGTTATTGCATATTAAGTTTAGTACTTGCATAACCAAGTACTAAATCAGTTCACAGTAACTGATGCTACTGCACAGTAGCACTGGCACATGGGTTTTTACAGATGCTAACTGTGCAGTAGCCTAATACTACTATGCAGTAGTGTATTAACATGGGTTTTGCCCAGCATGCTATTGTGCAGTGTTATTAGGCTACTGCACAGTTAGCATCTCA